GGGGGCGGGGTTAGGAGGAGGGTACCGGGATCGGGAGCTGGGGGCCTCTGGCCAGACCCCGCCCGCTGCGCTGGCCAGGGCCTCGCAGCTATCCCCAGCCAGAGCTGCTGAGGCAAGGGAGCCTGGGGCGGGGGAGGGGGTGGGGGGGATGGGGAGAGGTGGGAAGGAGGGTGTAAAGATGTGGAGGCAACAGTCGCTCGCCCTTGGCTGTCACAGAGCTACCGGGCCTCAAGGCTCTCCCCAGCCCTCCAACCCCAACCTTCCTAAAGGAGAAAACCGCCTTCCTTCTGCCTTCCAGGACTTCAAGATCCCCCGTCTGTCTATCAGAGGCTGCTCTTTCTCTTCCACCTGCAGGAAGCCTTCCTTACTAGCAAGTTCCAAACCCTCCTACAACTCTTCTTTGCCCCTACCATCTGGGTCTGGGAGGCTCCACTAGCTGGGGGTGCCTGTGTGGAAATCTTCAAAGGTCCCTGGGAGAGACAACGTCCCTAGGGTCAGCAAAGAAACCAATGGCTACTTGAAATAGGCTGGCTCTAGAATTTCGAGTCCTGGGCTTTTAATGGAAAGGTTGGGGATAGGAACCCAGCAGTGGGCTTCTGTAAAGACTAAACTCACTGCAGTGGAATTAATTCTGACTCACGACTCAGAGTGAGATCGTGTAGGACAGGGCAGGACTGCCCTTGTGGGTTTCCAAGACTGTAACTCATTAGGGAAAGAGAAAGCCTCATCGTTCTCCTCTGGAGTGGGCTGGTGATTTCTAACTGCTGACCTGTGGTTAGCAGCCCAGTATAACCCCCTCCACCACCAGGACTTGGAAACCCAATGGAGCAGTTCCATTCTGCCTAACAGAGTGGGGATCCACAACTCCAAATGTAGTGTCGTCGTGGGCATTCTAGGTCAGGAGCATTCTGCTCTTGCCATGATGACCCCTACTTAGTGAGTCCCCACTGAGGCTGCCTCCCCAAATCCCTGAGGACAGCAGTATCCAGCACCAGAGGTCCCTCCAGCTGTAAGTCCCCAGTCAGAGTATAGGCATGGTTTTTCTGGAATGAAGGAAAACAGATCTCTGTGTCCCTCAAGCCACAATTCCCTTCCCATTCCCTGTCCTTCCTTCTCAGCAGGAGGTCAGAAGTACCTGTCTAACCTCACCTTTCGCCAAGTCTTTGGGGATCCACTGTCCCAAGCATAGCCCCCAGAGCCAGACTTTTTCTAAGGGAAGAGTTGAGGAGTTTCTACTGCCTGGGCCTCAGTCCCCACTGTGCTAGAATTCTCTCTGAGTTTAGGTAAGCTTCCTCACAATCCCTGTGAGAGAAGGGAGATGCAGAATACCATGCAGAGAGACAGGAAGAGCCCCAGTGAGAAGCAGTGGGGGCAGCTGGCTGTCTAGAGAGATGGTTTCGACAGCCTAGGATTATTTTAAATCTTATGTCAGCAAGTTTTGGACCTCTCAGCTGATTTCCAACTCAAGCCACCAAACTATGGCTCTCTATGCTGACCCCATTGCCTGCTTACTTCCTTGTCTATATTTAGGTAAGACCCCAGCGGGGACAGAGCGTGAGCAGATTCACGACTGGACCTGAGGAATATGACCAGACCTAGGATTGGTCCATGCATAACCTGGAGAAGCAGACATCCCCCACACCCCCAGCGCTCTTTCAGCAGCAACTCCCTTGAGGCCCTTTTCTTTCCTAAGTGGACTTTGCTTTCCACTTGCTGAGTGTGGTCCATGAGGCCATGTTCCAGTTGGCAAGGCCAGGAACCCCTGGACACAGCAAAGCATAGCAGTGAAGCAATTCCAGTGACACTCACATATACATAAGAAAGAGCTTTATATCAAGAAGCGATTATGTATCAAGAAGGCATTCCAGCTCAGTCCAACTCAAGTCCGTAAGTCCAATACTAGTCCCTAAGTCCGACTCAGGCAGCCACAGGCAATGATGCAGACTGCAGGGAGATCACAGGCTAAGTAGGGGGCACAGTGGTGTGGATCCAAGGTCTGTGGAAACATGGCTGTGCTCCGGAAGCTCTCAGGGTGGCCAGTCAGCAGAAAAGTAAAGGTGGAGAGATAGAGTGGGCAGGCCCCATGGTCCCCATTTATAAGAAGGCCACACCCTCAAGGGTTCAGCATCAGGCTGGGACCTGATTGACAGGTTTGACTCTAACCTTAGCTAGGAGTGTCTCCTTGACATAAAAAGCATTTAACTACCACAACCTGTAGAGTACATACCTCTTGGTCTTGACCAAACCCACTGCCATCGAGTGGATTCTGACTCATAGTGACCCTATTGGGCTAAAACCTTTAAGGGGGCTGATAGCCTCATCCTTCTCCCATGATGTGACTAGTGGGTTAGAACCACCAGTCTTACCGTTAGCCTGTTGGCAAAACTGAAGGTTGGGGTGATCAGCGGGCTCTTGGGAGACTAGAGCCTGGAACAGTGAACAAACCCAAACCAGAGTCAGGTGGGGAACAGCTGTAGGCTCCTCCTGTTCTTGACAGCAATACTAAACAGAAATGGAGTATACCACCTGTGGTCATTACACAATTTCACGTCAACTTGATGAACAGAATGACGGGGTGGAGTCTAGCCTGTCAATCAGGTCCCAGTCAGATTGATGCCTCCTGGTGGATGTGGCCTTCTCATGAAGATTCTGGAAGTTTTCCTCTCTTCCTCCCTGGAGGTGGGACACACACTCTCTCTGCTACATTCCTGTTGACAAGCCACATGGAGCCACGCTGATGACAGCCAGAGCCCTGGAGATGCGTCCACTAGCATTGGATCCACAGGACTTCCACCCACCGGCCTGTGCTCTTCCTACATTCAGCACCGTTGCATGTGTTGCGTGAGTCTGAAGAGGAATACATGGGCTGATATCGGACTTGTGGACTTCTGGACTGGGCTGGGATGTTTTCTTAATGCACAATTACTTTTTGACATAAAGTTCTCTCTTACACATAGATGAGTGTTTCTGGATTTGTTTTGCTAGTCAACCTGGACTAACCTACCACCTATAGTAGGTTGGCCAGCACTGATGCTGAATAAATCACTATGGCTTCCCTTATGGTTCCTTTGCTCAACCTCTTCCTAGGATTCATGAGTAAAAGGAGGTCTAAGCAGGTCAAAGTGGTGTTGCCAGTAGTTGGGGGAGGGGGTCAACAATGCCTGGCTGGGGGCAGTTATCCACTCCTGGGTGAGGTACTTACCTCTCTGGGCCCCACAGCTGTTCCCCATCTGCCTGTGGTCTGCATTTGTTCATTACCTCAGACTCTAGTATCCTAAGAGCCCACTGCACACACAGGCCTCAGTTCCACCAACAGGCTAGGTTCTTCCCACAGTCAAGGATGATCTTGACCAGCCTACCTGTGGGTCTGAGTCCTGTGTGTGACCCCCTGGTTGAGAAAACCCCCAGTGGGAGAGAGAAGACGACAGGAGTCTCCAGTTGGGGGAGCTAGTCTGACTTATGAGCGGATGTGTGGCTGGAGTAGGAATCAGGAGGGAAACTTTCTAAGGAAGCATCTATGGGCCCAGAGTGGTGCAAGTTCGAGTCCACAAAGCACGGGAGGGTTTCCTCTTTGCTGCCCAAAGGTGGCGTAAATGGTTTATACTGGACTGTTCACCAAAAGGTTGGGGGGTTCTCGTTACAGCAGGAATGGAAGGTCCGGAGAGCTCCCTCAGGAAAGATGACCGCTGAGAAAACCCCACAAAGCCCCTTCCGCTCTGTAACACATGGGGCTGCCGTGAGCTGGCGGTAATGGACCTGACAGTAACAGGTGGAGGGAGTTCTTCAGCACCCAGGGAGCACTGAGCCTGCTAGAACACCACACCACTGGTCTGCCTGGCTCACGCTGCTCTCAGTCCAGGAAGGTTCCCTGGAGGAGGAGGGTTTCGATCCTTTCTATCAGTACAAAGTTTGTACTGACCTGACGAACTAACCCCCGAATGGATTGGTTTTAACCCACTCAGTGGGAGCCTTGGTAGCATAGTGGACTACGCGTTGGGTGACTCACTGCAAGGTCAGCAGTCTGAAACCACCGGCCCCTCCACAGGAGAAAGAGGAGCCTTTCTATCCCCATGAAGAGTTACGGTCTTGGAAACCCACAGGGGCGGTTCTACTCTGTCTCAGAGGGTTGCTGTGAATTGACGTGATGGCTGTGACTTTGGGGTTAACGCCTTCTGAACCCTCCCTAGCTTCTGCTCAAAGCCCTGGAAACCTGCCGCTGTCACCTGCCTCCAGCCCTGAGGTTGTGCAGAGCAAATGCACGCTGGGTGTGAAAGCGCTCTGTAAACTGTGAAGCATGGTGAGAGCGAGGGCAAGAGGCACAGCCTTCAGGGTGGGGTCTCGGGAGAGTGGGAAAGGCTGGAGGCCAGGGTCGCCCCGAGAGGCCTGCTTCCCTGGAAATGCCCATGCCAGATTCTAGATTGGGGTGCCAGAGGTGGGGGGGCTCCAGGATCCTGCACTCAGGTTTATTCTCCTCTCCATACTCCTGGTTCCGGATCCCTGGCTCTTTCTGTTCCCAGATGTTTGTCTTCTGGTGGGCTGTGCGCAACAGAGAAGGGCTCAGGTCCTTGGGCATGCTTTCCTCTCTGCCTGGGCAGCCAGCCGGCCTCTGCTCACATCCATCCCCTTTTTCTGTTC